TTAAAAATAGTAATAAATATTTAAAATGATATTAAGGGATTTTGAAATAAAAAAAGTTATTTTTTATTATTTTATTATTATATTTATATTTTTTGAATAATCTGATAACAAAAAAAATATTTAAGAATTTTGAAAGAAAAATAAAGATCATATGAAAGGTTTGTTAGAAAATAGGACTTTAAAAATTTTTTATCAAAATTAAAATTTTGCTTTATATTAATCTATAATATAATAATTTTAATTAGTTAAATTTTTATAGTGCTTTAATTTAAGAAATTCAATATTAAAATAAATAATTAACATTTGAATATTTTATATAATAAATAAAAAAAATAAAATTTAAAAGTAATTATAATTAATATATTATTTAGAAATAATCAGAATATTAGCATTTCTAATTCAGTTGATAACAATTAAGCTCTAATATAAGTTATACTATAACAATAATAGCTATAGGTTTAAGCTTCAGCTGAAATATCAAACTGTAAGATAATTATAAGAATTTTATTATAATTAAATATATAAACATATATACTAATATATATTAATAACTTATTAATTAATTTATTGATTAATGTTAATTATATCTAAATATTAGATATAAAAATAAGTAAATGTAAATAAGGCTAGAAATCTATAGAATTTGGATTTTATTGATAGGTTTGAAATAGATACTATCTAATATTTTCAAATTTAGAGTTTTAGCAATATTTTTTAAAATATGCATTAATGTAAATAATAAATAAAATAAATACAAAAGAAAATATAAAAGAATACATAGTACAAAATTTTACCAATTAGAATTAATCTAATTTTTCCTAATTTAATTAGCTTTATAAATAAATTTTTTATAAAAAGTATCATTTTAATATATATTTACAAAATTTTATTCATTAAACATTATACAGTATTAATTAGTAAAATTCAATATAACTAGATTTTTAATATAATAAAATCTGTATTAAACTAAAAATTCATTATATTATAAAATATATTATATTATAATTAATTGTATTAAGAATTAAATGTAATAGTTATTTATAAATAATAGAATAATATTAATAAAGATTATTGTATTTTTATTTTTAATTTTTTTATATATAATAAATTTTTTTAACTTTTTAATTTCAAAATAAAATAATTATAACTAGTATTATATATATTATAATCATATAATTTATAATATATATAAATTTATAATTAGTAAAACTCTATTAAAATAAGTTAAATTTATTATCATATTAGAGTTAATAATGTTATAATATTTTATCTTATTTAATATATATTATGATTATTTAATATTTTAATATTTTAATTAGCTTATATAATTATAAAAATACCTGTTTTAATCAATCTAATATGAAGAATAGTATTTTTCACTTAATTATAATTTATTCAATATTTTAATAATATTAAAATAGTTTCAAATATAGTTTAAGTTTAAGTTATATTTGATTTAGTTTTAATAAGTAATTATATATTTTGTCTTTATTATACATAAATATCTATGAAATAAAGATTATTAATCTTTTCATTTTTTTTTTGAGATTTATTATTATAAAATTACTAAAAATTTTTTTTAAAAAAAAATATTAAGTTAATTAATTTAAAAGTTTAAAAATATAAATTTTTAACTTATTAGTTTAATCTTATATATAAATAAATACAAAATAGATATTTCATTTTTACTCAAATACTTATAGTTTTATATATATCTATTGTATTCAAATATAATAATATTTGAAATGTATATTTAAGATATCCTAAATGCAAAAATCATTTAGAATATTCACTTATCTTAAATATGAATTTATTCTAAATTATCATTTCAAATATTATACTTAAATATAAGTATTAAAATCAGATTCAATGATATATTATTTAATTAATTATATTAACTTATTTTTATGAAGTTGATTTTCATAAAATTAAAATAGGATAAATTTAAAATAATCACTTTTATAATGATTTAGATCTTTTTAAATTAAAAAATTAAATATTTAACTAAAGTAATATTAGTTAGTAATTGAATATGCTTATAAGTAAAACTTTTTAAAATTATTTTAAAGAAAACACTTAGGTAATAAATATAATATATTGATATAAATATTCTTTAATAAATATAATTAATTAGTATTACTTTAATATTAATATTCTATATTTTGTAATTCTAATTGATTAATTAATAAATATTAATTGACAATTTATAAGTGAAATCATATTTTTTTGGGTTTAATTTTCTTTTTTATGTAGCTTTAATTAATTTATTTAGTTTAATGTAAAATATTTAATATTATAAAAGTATAGAATACTAATATTAAGGTAATACTAATTTATTAATACTATTAAATAAATATTTTGTCATAATTATTACATTTTTATTCAATTAAATCTTTTTGCTTACAAATAAAATTTTATAAATACATAAATAAAAGAAACTAAATAAAATAATAATTCATGTTTTATAAAGCTTTGCAGTTAAAGCTTGTTATAGTGAATTTTCTTTAGTCATTTTATTCACAATAATGAAATTTGATTAAAAATTCACTATATCAAATAAAATTTATTTTTAGAAAAATAAATTAACAAATAATAAATATTCATGATAATGAGTATTTTTATAATAAATTTTACTATAAGATTATACAACTTTAATTTTTAGTTTAATAACATTAAAATTTTAAAATCAATCTAGAGACTTGAAATTTATTAATGATTATTTTTTATTAATAAAAAATTTATATATAAATATTATACTATCTTATTGGTTAATTTTTAAGAAAATAAGGCTATGCAAAGTAAATTTTCAGATTCTGTGATCTGATCATATTAATTTACAAAAATTTAGAATTTATATATAGTAAAATTTTTATCATATGATCTTATATAATAAAATCAGCATATTAAATTTTGTTTAAAAAATGATGAAAGAAAAATTTACATAGTTTTATCTTTATTTGTGTAATATAAAATTTATTTATATAATATAGAATATATCAATTTTAAAATTTTATTTAAAAATTAAAAAATTTTTCTTTGTCTGGCTTAATTATACTACAATTATATTTTATTTTAAAATTATTAACTCTATTAAAATGCTGATTATACATGTAAAAATAAGTTATAATTCTAAAAAATTAAAAAGGTTAATTTATTGATAAAGAACTAAAAATAAAAGATTTTTTAGAAATATATTGATTCTATATTTATCACCTAACTAGTAGAAAGCAGATTTTAAAGTAAAGTTTAATCTATCAAAAACATTAGTTGAAGAAAAATTTCAGCATAATGTATTGCTTAGAAAGCTTAAAACTAATGAGTTATAAGAAAGGAATTATATATTATAATAATATAATAAAGTTTTAATCTACCAATAAAATTACATTTTATAGTCATATTATAAACTTTTATATATAAACTTTTTTTGTTTAAAATTTGAAAAAATGACTCAGTCAGATGATATAAACTGAAAAATTGAAGTTACATATCCTAATGAGCTTTGACTTATTTAAAAATTCTAATAAATAACTATTTTTAAAAATAAAATTTTTAAAAAAACTTTGTAATAATAATCATAATATAAAGATTTACATCATTTAATTCGAGAATTTAGAAATTTATTATTAAATTTAACATTAATTAATTCATAAATTGATTTTAACAAAGTAAAAATTCCTTACAAAATGAGTTTTTTTCTGGTAAAGCTGATAATAGCCAATTAATTTAATCTTAAAATAAATATAATTAAATTATAAATCACATGATAATACAGTATTATAAAGTAGTATAAAATTATGTTATCATAAAATTTAAAATTTAAATAATAAAATCAAGCTGAACTAGTTAAGTTCTAAATATTTATGTAATTTAATTTTTATATTTGGTCACTGTCTTAAAACTATTCCTACTTAATTCTTTCAAAGTATTAAAGAGGATATAATTAAAAATTTTAGTTGCTGAAAATTTTATAAAATAGAAAGACTAATTCTGCTACATTTAAATTATTGCTTTTGGAGTGACTTTCATTTATCTCTGCTTTCTATTAGTTACCATATGGGAGGCAGTCAGTAGTAAAAGAAAAAATCCGCTTTTTAGTTAAAATTTTTTATTGGTTCACTCTGCTGATCATGATCATATGAATAAACTAGCTTAATAACTAAAATTACTCAAAATTTGTTCTATTGACCGCCCCATATTTCAACATATACCTAACCATCATGATGTTTAAGTAAGCTGCAATTAAATGTTTTTGCTCCTCTGGATGGATCAGGTCGGATACCCATCCCGGATATGTAAGTCAGGAACGATTATTTTCTGTGTTTCACAAAATTTTGCGTGTGATAAAAGTTAATTCTGTGAAATTCCTGTGATTTGGTCGGAATTATGCAAGATCAGCCAATATTGTAATTCGCAAATTCTGGCCAAACTTAACCAGCATTACGATGATTGCAAATCCTAAATCAGGCCAAAATTTTGAAAATTAATCAACCATATTCTGTCATCCTCTGGTGCAAGTCTAACCCGAACTCACCTAACCTGACTATTATGTAACCCGATTGATTCGAGTTAATGTTACATATTAAAAATGCATCTTGGACGGTAGTATTTAACCTTTTTTAATTTTTGTTCTGTCATTTTGATGTGCAGAAATTGCGCCACACAATATATTTATGGTTTTTTTTTTTTAAAAAAAAAAACTTGAATAAAGTTAAACTATTTACCAATAATTAAAAATTATAAATAACTTTAAATTAATTAAGGTTATTTATATGCAATGTCGATCGTCAACAATTAATTAGTCGCTAAAAATAAATATCAGGTTGTGAATGAAACGACCTTTATATTCACAACTATTTTCACATAAAGTGACTGGAAAAAAAAAAATTTGAAGCTACGGGATTTTAGTTTATAAATTTTTATTTACAATCGTCATTAGGTACAATCTTTTTTTTTTGTTAAAATTTTAAGCAAAATTTACGGATGCTATTACGTCATTTTGCTCAAATTATGTTATTTACACCTAGCATAGAAACGTTCCGCGTATCCATTCCTAGATATTTTGTGGCGTTTAGCCATCGTTCGTTTGCTATAACGGGGATTTCATTAGTAAATGCATTAAAATCTTTTGACATAATCTCATTAATATCCAAATTGCTGCTTATAATATTATTACAAGCCTCAACCTATCCCTGCCTAGAATTACTTCAACTTTGTTTCTATATTGAAAATTAAGTGGTTTCTAAATAAAAAAAAAATAAAAATAAACAAACAAATTATTAAAAAAAAGTGTAATTCCTTTCTTTTATCAAATTTTACTCTTACATCATGATTCTGTTTAATATTTTTCCACTTTGTCGCACATTGTTCAGCGGTATAAGTGTAACCTTTATTTAATAATGCAGTGACGGCACCATTCCATAGAGACATTCTAACTTTACCAGCTTTCGAACCTCGACATTCTAGCAGCAGTACATCTTCTTTATTTTCAGTCAAATAAAAAAGCAATACTTTAATGGATTCTTCCTCCCATTTACATTTAACTAAAAGAATTTTTTTATTTTTTAAAAAGGGTAAAATTTATAGTTAGTAAAATAGTTAATACCAACCAGGATCGATTCATAAAGTCTTTGCTAAAACTTAACCTTTAAAATAGTTCTCACCACTATTTTTAGAGCTAAATAGTTGAGTTAAACACGATTTAATATGTTCTTGATCTATTTTAGAAAACCCGCTCACTTGTGTTACACACTGGAACACAAGCATTACTTTATAAATCTTCATGGTAAATGGATGTATATAATAAAATGAGTTGACAATGTTATTCTCATCATCGGAATTACTTAACAAATTGATTGCAGATTCAACTGTTAATGGTACTATTTCTTCACAGATGACTAGAGCATTTCCATAAATAAAATCATATTTGGTCACAACGAAAATGTCATGCAAGTAGGGTGAATTAGGTTGTACGCATGGTAAATTTTTTGAAGTTTGAGTGTAAATGGGATTTGTCTGCATTATATCTGAAAGCGCAAAAAAGATTTTGGTCATAATTTCGAAAATTTAAATGGAAACAATTTCCAATTTAAATCTTCTACACAACGAAAATTTTTTGATCATATTTATAATTTATTGAAGTATATAATCACAAGCTAGCGCAAGTTAATTATGTTAATAATTTTTGTAAGAATCCAATACACAATCCGTAAACTTAAACCCTTTTTTTTTTTAACAAACTGGAGGAATCACTACCAAAAGAACAAGTTTATATGCTGAATTAATGACTATATACATGTTTATAACCTTTTATGGTTATAAAGAAGTAGCAATAAAGAATTTGGCGTTAAATCCAAATCCTTTGCATATATGTGTACAACCGGATTTTTATTTCCCAAATAATTTGTTCTTTACCCAAATTGAATGATTGTACGAACATATATGCAATTTTAGTGGTATAATCAAATCAAAATATTTCTGAATAACCTTTACATAGTTATAAATAATATACCTCAAAAAACAAGGAGATTTGTATTTAACGCCAAATCATTTTGCTTGAAACCGAAAGTTTCGTAATACGAATATAGCGTCAATGAGTTTGTACTGTTCTGGATAAAGTTTTGCACTTCTAGGTCGAACCGTTTATTATTTACATTCAGCATCAAACATTAACGATTTGATTTAAAAAGTATAACGCTAATAATTTGTTTTTTTACCTCAGTTAGTCGGCTCGCTTTTACATTGGTTTATTCAAATTCCTTTAATTATATAAGCTTTATATTGAACAAAAAATTTAGAGTAAATTGTAAGATAATCGTTGTAAAACAATAAATATTTGGTCAAACATTTTTTTATTGGTTTAGTCATGTGCACAAATTAATTTCACCTTGTAACACGGATTTATTGGGAATTTGTGTTTTAGAGTGCTATTTACCGGCATAGGTGATACGCTTATAATTAACTGGAATATAATGAAAGAAAACGTACGAATAAATATAATACATTAATTCAATAGTAACAACTATTAATCCATACGGTATTTTATTACATATACTTAGATAAGTTGAGTTATAGCATATTTTAACCAACAACAATAAAACAATACCAAAAAAAATCAATTTTTTAAGCTTAATCATTGTTTAATTCGAGTCCAATTAGCTGCGCTATACAAATGCGTCGTCCTATACCAATATATGGCTAAGTAAACTTTAAATAATTAAAATACTAGCATTAGATTACTCCTCACATTCAATAGGCCAAGTGCCCCCTTAAGTCTTCGGTTAGTCTTTTTAATTATTATAACTTGCCAATTTTAGTAATATTTATAACTGAATTTTTTTTCTCGTGACTATATGCTACATGAAATAATCACATTTATTATAGCTTTATTCATAATTATAGTGAATTTTGCAACAAAAAAAATCATAAAACTCAAGAAGGTATCTCAAATATTTAGGTTGTGAAACATATTTCCCATCAACTACTATTATCCTATTTTATGGCTAATGCAGAAAAGGGAGTTTACCAATGATGTGGTATGATGTTGTTGCGTACCACGGCACCAGTGAAAATTGGCTTAATTTTAAATAATTCCGTTTTTGGGTACATGACAGGAGAAGCGTTAATTTACTCCGGTTCAATCGGAAATGATAACCATGTATGGGAAAGAAGAATTAACCAACATTCAAATTTTTAAAATCTAATCTTGATTTATATATATTAGAGCTATTCTCTGCTCATTACGATTAAATTTAAGAACTGAGAACTGAATAATAATTGGAATCATTTCGCAATGAGCTTGATAACTTCTTTAATAATAAACATATCACAAAATTTATTGTTAGATAATGGATATAAATATAATAAACAAATGAATTATTATAAATCTAGTTATTTATAATGCTCTTCGTTCCCTTTTCGATTTTCCAACTTTCTGGCTTTTTTTGGCCCATCTTCTTCATTTACCAATTCATGTTCCAGCTTTCGTTTACTATATACAGTCATATTAGATGACTTATTAAATAAATCCATTGGAATTTGAAACTAATAAAATTTGGAACAAACCTTAATCTATTTTCACCAATAATCTCTTCGACTTCGTCCTTAAATTGAAATTTAAGTGATTTCTAATCAAAAAAAAAAAAAAAATATTAATTAAAATAATAAGGTAATCCCTTTCTTTATCAACTTTACTCTTACTTTATAATTTTGCTTAATATTTTTCCATTTTGTTGCACATTGGATAGCAGTATAAGTGTAACCTTTATTTGATAAAGCAATGACGGCACCATCCCATAGTGGCATTCTAACTTTACAAGCTTTAGAACCTCGAAATTTTAGCTGCTTTAAATCTTCATTATGTTCACTTAAATAAAAGAGCAATACTTTGACGGATTCTTCCTTCCATTCACATTTATCTAAAAAAAAATTCTTTTTTCGTAAATAGGAAAATAGTTGATGTCGATCTTTATAAATAAATTCACCGACAATAAATATTTTTTACCATTTCGAGAGTCAAATGCTTGATCATTTTCAAAGGTAAAAGGTTGATTAAAAGAAAGGGATTGTGATTCTATCTTATAAAATTCACGCAGTTGTTGTACACACTGGAACGCAAACGTGACATTACAAATTTTCGGGGTAAATGGTTGAACATAATAAAATAAATTGAAATTTTGATTCCCTTCATCAATAATTTTCAACAATTCAACCGCAGCTTCATTCGTTAATGGTAGTAATAATTCTTCAGAAATGAAAAAAACATCATAAATAAAAAAATAATCAGACATGATTTTATTATTATCAATATATTGCTTGAAAGAAGTTTAGCAAACGGGATAATAACTTCTTCGTGAATTATGAAGACTGAATAATTTCTACTCGTAAAAACTTTTAGAATCATATTTATACAATAAATTAACAAACTGTTAACAAAGTGTTTTGGTAAAATGACGCTAGTAACGCGTTATTGTGATTTTGTTCACATTTTTTTTTAATCAAAACAATATACGAAATTCACAATCAAAGAAACAAAGTTTTTTTTTTTTTTTTTTTTTTTAATAATCGAAACGCCATTTTTTTCATTCAAAAAAAAAATACATATATTAATAATAAATGATAAATTTTGATAGTTTATTTATTTTCAACATTGAACACTTTTAAGGTAAAAGAAAAAAGGGGTACCATATGCTTCATAGTTTTATCAGCTGAAAAAAAAATAAGCCTATTGTTATTATTTTGATCTATATTATGCCACGATTACAAAACGGTATACAAAAATCTTTTTGATGTTGCTTTACATCACGTTATCATTTAGAATTTGTCATAAGGTTCATTTAAATTTTTAATATGCAGTAACTTTACCAGTTTAGTAAACTAATAACGCCATTAAATTAAACTCTTAAACATTTACAATCTACTCCGATTAAAATTAAAATAATCAAATAAGGACGAATTTTAGAAAATCAAAAAACAATTAAATATATTCGAATATTAGAAACGTTGAATTTAACAAACGTATTTACAAATCCTAAACTGGCTCTCTTTTACAGAACAGAATTTATACCTATCTATAAATGCTCTTTGTAATTCAAAAAGAATGAACTTATGATTTTATTAGATCAGACAATGAATTCTGCCAATTTTAAATTTAATTCTTAAAATTAGACGATATATTGCGAAAACAAATTTAAAATTGACAAAGAAATATTTAATTGATGTAAAAGCTGACGTAAAAGAAGATTTTGCCATAGACGTTATTATTTTTTGATAATATTAAAAGTTTGTGGAAAATTTTTTTTTAAAAAAAAAAAAATAGTTTATCCGATTTAAGCCTTTTTTTGTTAATTTATTGTTGCTAATAGTTACTAATTTGAGTATGATCTGTATATGTTATATTAGTTTTATAATTTATAAAGCATCCGTACAAGAAAAGGGATGGATATCAATGAAAATTGTTTGGGTCACAACGGTCATATTGGTTACGTATATTATAAATATTTATATCAATGAAGGAGTTACGTATTCCGAACATATATGAGAATAATTAAATTCGCAATATTAAAATTTCAAACTTGATTTATATCAAATAAAGGTTTTTGTAGCTCATTACGATTAAGTTAAGAACTGAATAATAAATAATTATTGGAACCATTTCAAAAGAAGCATTTTAAAATTCTTTTATAAAGTCGCTGAAAATAAATAAAGTTACTGCACCATTTTTACAATTTTCTCTTGCACGATAAGTAGTCAATTTTTCAAGATTCCTTAAAAATATGTGTTTACATATAAACATATAAACATGTAAATATGTACTATAATGAATTACATTGTAAGTTTGTTTGTTAAATATTTCACCAAATTTATTATTAGATAATGGTTAATAATATCTAATATATGGAACACATGAAGGGTTATATGTAAGTCACATGCGCGTAAGCGCATGTGATTATCATATAAACTCTGAATAACCTAAGTAATTCGTAATGGAAGAACAGGCTTATCTCATTGTATGACGTATACACTGATGTCTATATACATTTTCGTTTTCCTGATTAAATATCTAAGAAGTTAAATGACGTAAATTACGAAACGGATACTGTGCACAACTATAATATACAAATTAATACATGTTTAATTTAATTTATATTACAAGCTAAGAAACGACAAGTATTTCTAAATCTACGCGAAAAAAAAATCCAGATTGAATATATATGAACATCAAAAATGTTGAGTATATGGAAAACCGGTACGGTACACCAGTACGGTAGATATGCAGATCAGGGTAGATAGAAAACCGATTCGCCAGACCAGTACGGTACGATTATGCAGATCAGTAATTTTGTTGAAATTTGACATCGTACCGTACCGTACTGGTCCTATAATAATTATATAACCAATCCAGTATGATGATGGTATAGACTGATTTTATAAAATTCGTACCGGTCTGGCGAATCGTACCGTACCGGTTTTTTATCTACCCTAAAATACACATTTGAAGAAATAAATAAGCATGTATTTTTTTAATTGTTATATTATTATAAATATATCATGTCACATATACATTATAAACCGGTGGAGTAATTGATAAAAAATTCATTGGTGTATACATAATACGTTGGGATAATTATTTATTATGCTCTTCGTTTCACCCTTTTCGATTTTCAATTGTCCTGACTTTTTTTGGCCCACCTACTTCATTTACCAATTCATTTCCAGCTTTCTTTTACTATTTATAGACATATTATATGTTGTATTAAATAAATACTTTGGAATTGTAATTAATAAATATTTTGGAGCAAACCTATTTCCACCAATAATTACTTCAGCTTCGTCCTTAAATTGAAATTTAGGTGGTCTTTAATCCTTAATCCTGATTATGTTTAATATTTTTCCCCTTTGTCGCACATTGTATGCATGAAACTTATTATTTGATAAAGCAGTGATAGCACCATTCCATAGTGATATTCTAACTCCACCAGCTTTGAATCTCGATATTCTAGCTGATTTACATATTCATGTCCACTTAAATAAAAAAAAAATTTTTTTCAACAGGATTGAAATTTATAAATTCACCGGTAAATGTTTGTTATACACCATTTCGAGAGTTAAATATTTGATGGTTATAATCATTTTGAAAGGTGAAGGGTTGATTAAAAGAAAAGGTGTTTCTATATTATAAATTTCTCGCAGATGTTGTACACACTGAAACGCAAACGTGACATTATAAATTTTCGGGTAAATGGATGAGCATAATAAAATAAATTGACATTTTGATTCCCTTCATCAATCTTTACAAAAATTTAACTATAGAATGGCAGTAATAATTCTTCGGTAATGTATAAAGCACCTTCATAAATGAAAGAATATGGAGACAGACCAGGTCATTTAATGTTGAAAATGACCCAAATGACACATGACCAGTCATTTGAGTCATTTGTAAGAAATGGGATTTTCCGAAAATCATTCTAATACCTTGCTTCGGGAAATAATAACCCGCTTTAATTTCTGAGGGTAGTGCTCTGAGCCGATCTAATCGACCCGGGTCATTCGACCCGTCTCGAGAATTAATTAGAGTCGGGGATATCATTGTGTCCTGATTTAATAAAAGTCGTCGGGTCAGCGTCATGGTTTTACTCGACCCGGATGATCTGTTGAACTGATTTTTTTTGTTCTACGTTACGCAACTTCGATATGATAAACTTGTTTTAAGTAATATTAAATATAGGATAAATTCAAGCTACCAAAGATGGGCTAATCTATCGTCTCACAGAATTAAATATATCCAAACTTACTGAGTTCCTTCCAGAATTACTAGATATTCTAAATGACATCCTTGCCACTCCCACATCTAGAATAGATGGTTACATCAATATTGTTCATTCTCTCATTCCTTCCTCTTTAATAGACATAGTTCATAAAATCACCAGAAATAAGGGTCAATGTCT